TCGCATGGAATGAAAATGTGCAAAGCCACAGGAATGTCGCACGGTTAAATCTCTTGAGAAGAAATACAAAAGATAGTAGATTGTCGCGGGAAGTTGGCAGATCGCAAACATGAGCACGATAGAAGTGGACATCTTTAACACATTTCGCTCTATCTTGAAACGCTGTTGTTCAGCGGTAACCGATTGTGCGGATCCCCGGACGACTTGTAACTTTAGCTTGAAAACGATAATAATGTAAAGAACGGCAATCAAAACCAAAGGCATATAATAAAGTGTTATTATATTTGCCAGGACGTAGTCTGTGAAGTTGGAAGTATGTCCGAAGACTTTTTCCCAGTGAGGCTCACATTCTATCCTTGCTGAAGGATACTCGACAAGTTCAAAGGCGATGAGATATGGGAACTTAATGGCCATGGCCAAGATCCAGGTAGCCAGGATGAAGAAAGGACACCGCTTTGAACCGACGACTGGAGAACGGAGGGGATACACCACAGCAACAAATCGATCCACTGCTATCAGAACCAGACTCTGAATAGACACGGCAACAGAGACTTCCGAGAGAAAAGATATCAGCTTACACAACACCTGGCCAGGGGAACCACTGATAATCCAGGAGTTGGTTTGTATCTGTGTTATGATCCGGGAGAAGACAAAAACAGGAAACATCAAATCAGACATGGCCATGTTTACGATTAAGAAGTTAATGGGCCTTCTCATAGTTTTTGACTTGAAAACAATCAATCCGATGAAACCATTTCCAATCAGAGAGACAATCAAAATGAAGCTGTAAGCAAAGGTGAATCCGATTCCTTTTGCCTCAGTAACTGGATTTGAGCAGTTCGATGTCTGTGTTGCATTCATCGTCGAGGTCACGTTTGCCGACATTCTCTACACTAAAGAAACCAGTATTGCCTTCAGCCAATAGTTCTGAACGCTCACCTTTTTATTTGAACACATGAGATGATTTGCATAGAGATTAAAACTGCTTAATTGAATACGTTAGCTTCTCCAAATTAAATTCCAGAAAATCGACAGTTTACCCAGAACCTTCATTTAAATTAGCGATTGAGAGCGTCTACAGTTGCATTTTATTGAAACAAAATGGTCGGCAAAGGTCCAATTTGGATAAATTTAACTCAAATAGCCTCACAAACAGTTCTTGAAAGTCCTTTTCTCTTCTTTTCTCCTTTCTTGATGTGTCTGTAAACATCTGGTTAGTACAACATTCAAATTAAGCAAAAGGGAGCCTTCCTGAGAATTCATTAGAATTGTAGAGCACCATTAATATTTTATTACGCAAACATTGGCTATAAGGAACAGTTCCCATCTTATGAAATAAATCTGCCTAATAACTTGTCTTTATTACAAACATCTTTATATATTGCAACGATATATTTGGCGTGAACTTGTAAAAGTGTTTGTTCTTTCCCACCACCTATTGTAAGTTTGTGCTTCAGTCACTTTGTGATGATTTTTGTAATCGATTCTTGACTGCTGTTTGCTTACAATGAATATGTTAGGATCTTGCATCATACGTATGCTGTTTTCTTGTTATTTTCGTAACATACGATTGACGGAGGTCAGTTTTCCAGTCAAAATGAGTCGTGAAAAACCAACATCAGCCAATACAGTGCGAAGAATGTGTGTCACGGAACGTGTCTTTCTCCTTTTTGTGGACGAAAACAGACGTTGTGAAAGATGAAAGAGGAAAGAGGAATGGAGAACAGACGACTGAAGGTTTTTTTTACAAACGAAAGCTGGCCACTGGCTTGTCGAAGAGGCGTGATCTGAATTTAAAGCCAATTCAATTTGAGCCAATGACTGGAAAGCCAATACTGAACAGCCTTATTTATTTGATAACGCTTTACAACTGGCTGCGTGTGATGGCGTCTTAGTGAAGGAAAATGTTCTGCAATAGACTTTTAACTGGACTTTGACGGCAAACAAGATTATCAAAATTTGCACCTTTTGCTTTAAGCCGAATGAACTAGACTAGGGATTTTTTGCTATTTTAGTGCAGAGTATTTAGAGGAGTTAGGAAAAAACCAAGAGATTTTCTTGAGAAAAGCCCAGTAAAATCAAAGTTTCGTTTTTACCGCTTTCCGATGCCATAAGCGACCGCATAAACTCACAAACAGTTAAGTACTCTGGTGAGTTCGGTTATTCAACGTGTAAATATAAAATGTCTGAGCGACAAATTTCAGTCACTGAGGTAGAAACAAATCGTAAAATACAAGTGATAGGAGTGCTATGGAAGGATTTGTAAGGAAGATAAAGTTTAAAAAAGCACAAAATCTCTTTCAGTTCTTTTTTATTTCTTGTTTTTCTTTTTTTCTTATGCAAACGATAATTCCCCTTTCGTCTCTAAGAAGACTTCGGTGTTAACTGCGACTTTCAGTTAATGAGGAGAACGGGTAAGGCCGCTAATTATGTCTTCGTTCAGTCGAACGGTAATCTATAGGTTGCTAGAGATCTCTATTTATTTCTCATGCCAAAGAATAATCGGTATACTTCAATATCTTCCGCTGAGGGCAATTTAGCCGGATCTACGAAAATCGTTATCTTGATTTTTTTAAAGAAACATCAAGTGGCAAACAGTGACAAAGTTTATCTTTGTTTTTCAACTAAGAACTTTTACTAAAAAGATCTTTTTTCCCCCAAGCTGACTTTCCCAAAGTCAAAGTTGCACGGTCAGTAGCATTTACGGTGCAGGGCTTAAGCTACGGTGCAACTTGATTAAGTCGATTAACCCTGGGAGCGGCAGAGAAGCACCTGAGGAGATTTTTAAGACCCTGGCGGTAACGTCCCATGTAAATAAAACAGATGCAAGGGTTTACAGCACAGTATGTCCATAAAGGAGATTTTTAAGACCCTGGCGGTAACGTCCCATGTAAACAAAACAGATGCAAGGGTTTACAGCACAGTATGTGTACATCAAAAATCGGGCAATTTCCGCGAAATATCGAAAGCCACAAGACCATCTCATTGTTTTGTCTGGTAAATAGAAGTGCACCAACCACCAGATAGTGAGTGGCAGCCAGCACATTGCAAATGCTAACACGATGGCAATGGACATCTTCAAAACGATTCTCTCTCTCTTCAAACGTTGTTCGCTTGTGTTCGCTGATTGTTCGCCCAGAGTTTTGTGGGACTTGATCGTTAAAGCGATGGTAAGGTAAAGTATGGCAATCAAAACTAAAGGGACATAAAAGCCGACAGCGATTATTGCCACAGTGTAGTTTTGGAAGTAGGAGGACCTCTCCGGCGTACATATCAGCCGGTCTGAATACTTGACCATTTCTGAGAAGAAGAGGATCGGCCACCTGGTAACCATGGTAATGATCCAAGTGGCGAGAATGAAGAACCGGCACTGCTTTGAACTGAACAGTGGGGAGCGGAGAGGAAATATTACAGCTACAAATCGATCCACCGCTATTAGAACCAGGCTCTGAGATGAAACAAGAGTGGAGACATTTATCGAGAAGGAGACAAGCTTACATAAGGCTTGGCCGAGGGGACCGCGGATCAACCACGAACCGCTGGTGAATAATGAAGCTAAATCCTGGGGGAGCATGAAAATCGGATATAGCAGATCTGATATGGCCATGTTTACAATAAAAAAGTTGATTGGCTTTTTCAGGGATTTCGTTTTGTAGACAATTATTCCAATGAAGGTATTTCCAACCAACGAAGCTACAAATACCAGACAAAATGCAACCATGTAAACGATCCTTAGTTCTTCATGATTGAAGCAGCGCGACATGGTCTGTGTTCCATTTACCACTGCAGTCACATTTGCTGACATTCTCGGTCCTGAGATATCAGTTTCTTTTACAGAGTAGTTCTCTCGAGGCTACCTATATTCTCGTTAAAGAAAATAAAGCCGATTACAAACAAATATCTTAACTTTCTTTCTGTAGCCAATCTTTAATGAATTGATATAAGTTATCCATCATGGGGTACGGATGCAAAAGCTTTTCCCAGTGTAACAGTTTATTCTCTTACTTGCTAATCCGTCTTTCCCTGTTTTTATTTTATAGATTTTTTCTGTTGAAAACGTGTCTAGTGCGCCAAATGAAGGCTGAAAACAAGCGAGAATTTAAGGTACGTTCATAATTTATCATGTAAAAGACATACTCCATTAAGTAAGAGTATAACGTTGTTGAAAGATAACTTCTCTGGCTGCTTTTGTATAGAGATCTCCGGATATAAGATAAAATGTCAAGGTTTCGGTGCGGAAATGCGGAGTAAACGAGACTTCGAAAATCGTTGCATATGTTGAAGATACTACGAAATCGGATAAAAAGTTTGCGGGACTCACGATTTTCCAAGGTATCTGATTCACAACTTCTCTTATTTTGTAGGGCACTGCTCTTGAATCTGTGTCTCGTGTAAAATATCAGTGGGTTTCTCCCGGCCAAACTTGTGATTATTCACTGACTGGGTTAACCATAATAGAGGATACACCTTTTGAAGGAGTCTACGCAAATTTAAACAAATCACAAGAGATTTACGATCTACAGATAAGGTAGGAGAAGCTTAAAGTAGCGAGCGACGAAAATCTGTGTATTTAATGCTGCTTTCGTTTGAAATTATAGCATAGCTGATAAAAGTCGATATTTCGAAGAAACAAACTAAAAAGTAGTATCCCACCTCTTACGCAATATTTCCTGTCATTGATTTCCTTGTACTAATCTGAATTAGGCGATAGTAATAGTTTGATTTAGCTGAATTGCTGAGTTTTGGTTCCATACTTTCCAACCGCCACCTATATGATATCATCTGTCGCAACAGGTTTTTTTTGTATATGTAATGGCAGAAAGTCATTACCGTTGTTGAATCTGTCTGATAGTCAGTGTGTCTTGTACGTCAATTAGAGGCCGCGTGCAATTTGTGCCCTTTCTGAAAAGTACACAAATTTGATGATATGTTCATGAATAAACACAATATGTGTTTCGGTCCCTATGTGTTGTAAAAAGCTGAAAGTTGCTTTATGAAAAGCTGTGTCCTTTCGTTGTCTCAAGAAGTGTCATTATAGATGGAATGTACACAGACAAAATTGGTTTTCGGACTTTTTTGTTGTTATTTGATTCACCAAGTATTGGAAAAACTAAAGAGAAATTGAGCATTAGAACTTAGTCATCGGATTTTAAAGCGGATAGAAATCCGATTTGTAGTGGTTAAAATTTATTTCAAACAATTAAGTCCTCGTTTTACTTCTTTCAACTATAATAGACAAACTACAACAAACCTCAAACTCAGGTACCAGCCCTGAAACTAGAGTGAAGAAATAAGGCTTCTTTTTATCGCGAGTCAACAACTGGCCAGCTGTGAGGAAACAATTAAATATTTTTTGGGCGCTATATGGTCTCGTCTATCATGTGAACAATTATTTTTATTTCTGCTTTCTCATCGAAATAAAGTTCTCAATGGTGATGATTTTGGTTTCTCGATCACCTTGTAATCTAAACGTCATTTCCACAATTTTTGGGGGCTTCACACATTATGAGTCATGTCAACGTGAGTAAACAAAAACTGCAAAGTCCCTTCCGTCCTTGCTCGCCGGTTGATATCTTTCAGGAGACTTAAGAGCGGAATTTTTACCTATGTGGTTCAATTCAATTCGTTTTCGCATTCCTTCCATCTTCCACGTCTTTGGTGTGTTTACTATGCCTCGGTCACACTTTTGCCTATGCCCGCTGTTCAATTTCTCAAGGCCATCAAAAGACATGCGCTTTTACAGCCTTTGCTGAGACATACCGTTTGGAATGTATAAGATAAAATAAGCCCAGATCATGTTGTTGTAAACAGTTGCACTTTCCCCAAAGCCTCCGATTTGTGAGTGGAGAGTACACGGAAGAAAGTTACGTAAGAAGTCATTGAGATGTCTTTCAAGGAAATGATTGTTTATTATTCTTGAGAGAGAAAGAAAGTTCACCGACTCTGTGGCTGGCTGCATGGCTCACGTCTATTATTTTGGTGTCGATTAATAACAGCGAAAAACATAACTAATCAGCGCCATACAAACGACTCATTCACGACATTAACCTCACAAACGAACCGAACAGAACGACCCAACTTTACTAATGGATCGAAACAGCCCAATCACGACCGACTTACGCCACTTGGGTCCTACAGCTAATAACTGATCACGGCAAAACTGACCAATCATTTTATACGAACTGGAATAAGAACATTCGACTACCAACAAGTACTCAGGCTGCCGAAAAGTCAGTTACCACCACTGACAGTAGTCCTTCTCAGGACCACACCCGCCCGGACGATCAGACTACACCATCACACGTAACCAATCAGAGTACGGCTTAAATGATAGAAAGCCAATAGATAGAATTTATACAAATATGTGTGTGGAAGGGACATTTCTGTTAAGCGGCTCGCAACGCTCTCTTGCGCATGCTCGCCATGCAAACAGCCCGGTCAAATATTTTATCAAGTAAAACCAGATGATAATATTTGCCTGACAGTCATAAGTAAACCAATAATGGAACTTAATCCTTGTGTGGCCATGAATAATTTAAGACAATGGCTTGGGACTCAAATCAAGGTGAAACTTGATTAAGCCCTTGACCTCCTGAAAATGAAAGAAATGCAAGGGTTTACAGGACAAAGAAATGAAAGTCACAAGATCTTATTGTTCTGTCTGAGGAATAAAGCAACATTAACCGCCAGATGCTCAATGGCAGCCAACATACCGCGAATACCAACAAAATTGCAATGCACAACTTCAAAACATTTCTTTCTCTCTTTAAACGTTTTTCTCGAACGTTGACCGATTGCAAGGCTATAAGCTTACTGGCTTTCATTTTTAAAGCAATAACAAGGTACAGTATGCCAACAAAAACCAAAGGAACATACAGATATACGATAATCACCGCTGCAGATAAGGTTTCTTTGAGCGAGGACTCCCTAACTGCCGCTATCCACCGCCTGATACATGTCAGTCCCTCTGGATGCTCCACAACTTTCCGGGTAAATAGAGCAGGGCACCAGCCAGCCATGGCAATGATCCAAATGAATAGAATGAAGAACCGGCACCGCTTTGAACTGATCAGTGGGGAACGGAGAGAAAATACCACAGCCCTAAATCGATCCACTGCTATTATAAAGAGACTCTGAATTGACACAGTAGTGGAGACATCAACTAAATAACCAGACAGATTACACAACGCTTGGCCAAGAGGACCATCAATTAGCCAGGCGTTGGTGTTCAGTCAACTGAACTAAAAACCTGAGGAATCAAGAAGATGGGAAACAGCAGATCAGATATTGCCATGTTTGCGATAAAAACGTTGACGGAATTTCTCAGTCTTCGGGTCTTGTACTGACAACAATATTAATTGCAATGAAGGCGTTTCCAGCCAGCCAAACAACAAATAACAGACAGCAAGCAAAAGTGTAACCGATTCTTTCTGCTGGGAGGTTGAAGCAGCTCGACATGAACCGTGTTCCATTTATCGTTGCCGTCGCGTTTGCCGACTTTCTCGAAACAAAGATGTAAGTTTCTTGTCCAGCTACCAGTTGTGCGACTCTGAAGATTACCTACCCCGATCTACTGACATGAAATACATGCACAGCTTATTATTTACATATGCAATATAATTGTTAAATTTAGCATATCCGGTCCTTATTATATACATATAACTGTTAAAACTGTTTAGTTTTTGGGGGCATAGGGACTGGACTAGACTATTTTTTGGACGATTTTTTTGGCTATTTTTTAGACGATTTTTTGGGCCATTTTATAAGGGGGGAGGCACACCTTTAGTACTCAGGGAAGGGGTGGGTGCAGTCGACAAGTACTGAGTAAGGGGTGGGGGAAGAGTGTTATTACTCAGGGAGGGGTGGTAGGTGGTTGTAATTGTAAACACTGCTGGTTAATGGAGCTTTTACTCCATCGTAATATTATTGATTGTTTTTAAACTGGCGCGCGGAAGAAAATTTAGTGATGAACAATAAAGACAATACTTATGTCTCGGAGCTATCGGTCTGATAGTTGCCCCTTGCCCCTATTTGTTTTAAGAACATCAAATTTCCGCGGGGCAATTATCAGCCGATAGTTCCTCGACAGAAACGCTCTATTGTTTAACTAGGTATTTCGGTGTAGTGCGAAATTCTGTGATCTCGTCTGATAAGATTACTGACAAAAGGAAGATAGATAAATTCAGTAATAACATACTGTATACACAAAGGAAAACGTGAAGCAACTGATAGTGCACACACAAGTCGATTCAAAAGGCACACGGATAACTCAACAGTGGAGGATCGTAAACGCAGTATTTCAAATATAGATTAAAGTCCAGTGTTTACGTGGCAGTTTCGCTTTCGCATAACGGAAATTCCGAGATCTCGTCTGATAACATCAATGACAAAAGGAAGAGAGATAAATCTTGTAACTACACACTGTATACACGTTTTTCGAGGTGTGCGTTTAGTTTTCGAGGTGTGCGGTCTGCGGTCTGCGGTCTGCAGTCTGCGGTCTGCGTTTTCAAGGTATGTGTTAACGAGACACCTGAGAGAATATTGCTTTGTACGATTGTACCAAAAATGATTTCATATAGTAAACGTACAAACGTTAAAATTGCGATAGGGCTTGTGAATTCTATATTTGCGGCTAAAGTCAAGGGACGAGGAAAGGAAATTCTGTGATCTCGTCTGATAACGTCAATGAAAAAATAAAGATAGATAAATGTGGTAATTACACAAAGGAAAACTGATGGTGCACAAGTCGACTCAAAAGGCACACGCATAACCTATGCCAGACCGGTAACTCAACAGTGGAGGATCGTAAACGCGATATTTTCAATAAGAATTAAAGTCCAGAGTTTACGTGGCAGTTTGCTTTCGCATGGCTAAAAAATTAAAGAAACGCCGCGGCCCAACGCAAAATGTTAATGTAGGAAAAGTCATTCGAAAAACCGAATAAAATAATTATTACGATCGAGTAGAAGCTCCATTAACCAGTAGTGTTTACAATTACAACCACCTACTACCCCTCCCTGAGTAATAACACTCTTCCCCCACCCCTCCCTCAGTACTTGTCGACTGCACCCACCCCTCCCTGAGTACTAAAGGTGTGCCTCCCCCCTTATAAAATGGTCCAAAAAATAGTCTAGTCTAGTCCAGTCCAGTCCAGTCCATATTTTTCCCTATGCCAGTTTTAGGAAGCATCTCCATTTCAGTCTTAATTTGCGCTCTTTATCCAAAACTTCCCTAGATTAAAAACTGCCCCATCATGCTTATTACTAAATATAGTTACCGGAATGGAATGGTGAAAGTTTTTCTATAACTGATATTACGATGTTCAATTTTACTAAACAGAAAAAAGCAATACACTTGGAATCGGTAATAAAACAGTTCTTGAGAAATATATATATTCATATGTTCCAGAAATATATGAATTGTAGTCTTTCGACGCTTGTAACAGTTGCWATGATTTTTTACATTTGTTTGGTGTGAAACAACTGCATTACACTTAATTCTCTCGGATTTACCTTCGGATTAAGGGGCTCTCATCTTTTACCAATAGCACTGACCTAGTCAAATGGATTCTGATCGGTAATGGGAAAACTGGTGAATTTGAACTGAAAAAAATCTATCGAGTCCACTGGACAAACCCAAACTCGGCTGCCCCCAATGTAGCTAGAATGAAGAAATATACTCTCTTTTCTCTTGTGTTGCGAGACTGAAGCAGCTGACTGACTGAGAGGGACCGCTTAACTACTTTTAAGGTGTAGACTGGTATTACCACCAACAATCTGTTCTCGCCACCACCTCGTCTAAGATCGAGCAAATCAATTCAAGTTATAGCTTGAAGTTGCAGAGCTTAAAATAACAGCTAATTTTCATTTTATTGCCAAATTCAACGTTTTTCTTGGTGAATTTAGCGCATATATCTCCCGCCAACTCATTATCTGGCTTCCCATTCTGCACCTGTTGTTTTGATGTTCTCATTTTCCTATCAAAGTTATTTCTGTTTGTCTTAGCCTTTTGCAAGAGAATATCAATTTATTAACTGACCTCGAGGAGGTCACCTCAGTATCTTGTCACCCTGCGAGTCATTTATAATCGATGCTAGGGCTAAGACATTAGATCCGATTGTTTAAAAGTTTGTATACCTTGAACTGATTCCCCTGATAAACAGATTTCTAAAATGAAAAGAAAGTTTAAGGCAGCTAGAGTTTTCTATGGCTTTGAAGTAGTTACAGTCGAAGAAAAAAATCGTGATTAAGCTCTATTTTATTTACCCATTTTCCACTCCGCATTGTTATCTTTGAAGGGAATACTACATCGTATATTGTAAAATAATAGTAATGGTAAGAGCTGGACTCGACTACCAATAAAATTTTATTTTATTTTTATTTTATCTTTTTTTTTTGGTTCACCACATCATATTTCTCTTTTAATGTGATACTTTGAGTCAAAAGACTCTTAATGTTCAAATAAAGTCCTTAAACTACTGCAGTAAATGGTTTGAACCCGGGGGTAACATGTGAAGGTGTAGTCTGATTGTCCGGGTGAGTGTAGTCCTGAGAAGGACTGTTGTCGGTGGTAGTGACTGACGTTTCGACAACCTGTGCGGAAGTCATCATCAGAGTCAAGTGAATAATTGTTGTCAATAGAATGTTCTTATTAACTGGAATAAGAACATTCTACTGACAACAATCATTCAGTTGACTCTGATGATGACTTCCGCACAGGTTGTCGAAACGTCAGTCACTACCACCGACAACAGTCCTTCTCAGGACTACACTCACCAGGACGATCAGACTACACCTTCCTTAAACTACGTACTCAGAATAATTTATACCTCAAACAACAATATTTGCGCAAAAGTTCAAACTACGGTACAGCTTCTCTATATATGAGTTTAGCTATGCAATGCATTTTTATAGTAAGTGAGCTTTCAAATGAAGATTAGAATGAAGATTAAAATTTATTTACAAGTTTCAGAGCTGAATAGAGGGAGCTGTCACGTATTTCTTATCTTCTGATGATTGCCAACCCAAAGTTTGATCTATCATGCCTTTTAAAAGCCATCAAGCTAACAATTTCCACCATTCCTTTCGGTAAATTTAAAAACTCATCTTAATGTTTCAACAAGACCTTTCATCTCAAGGTCTTCTATTACTTTACTGACTTTTCGTAGTCTGAAATGAAAACAATCAATAAGGAATGTGAAAAATTCTTAGGTCGATCTGGATGGTCGGTTTTAAAGTCCAGGCTCCGGCTCTTCAATGGGCGGATAGCGCTATCCAACGGACAAGTGTTACCAAAACGTACTGCGCTATCCACCGGATAGAGATTTATCCAGTGTATAGCGTTATCCATCCTTCGAACAACCGGGGCCAGGCGCTCAAACTAGTACGGTGTAACTTGATTGACTTTAGTACCAACAGAAGAGCGACAGAAGAGATTCTTGAGACCTTGGCGATAATTTCCAACAAAGCATACACAGATCCAAGGGTTTATCGCACAGTTCGACAAAGCCAGAAGTTCGGCAACAGAACTGAAGTAATTGAAGCCACAAGAGGTTAAGATGGTTCGATCTGAGTTGAGGAGCATGAACCACAAAATACTGAAGGGCAGCCAGCACAGTGCGAACCCCAACACGATGGCAATGGACAATTTAAGAACATTTTTCTCTCTTTTTAAACGTCGTTCTCTCGCGTTAGTTGATTGCTCTCCTGGATTCTTCTGGGATTTTATTTTTATATCAATGGAAAAATAAAGAATGGCAACCAAAATCAAGGGGACATAATACATTACAACGATGATAGTCATAAGGTAGTTTCTGAAGGACGAGGACCCTCTAAATGCGTCATTCCAATCATGCTCACACGCCAGCCTCTCTGGATATTCGACAACTTTCCAGGCGAACAGGTCCGGACACCAGCCAGCCATGGCGATGATCCAAGTGGCGAGAATGAAGAACCGGCACTGCTTTGAACTGATGAATGGGCAACGGAGAGGAAATACCACGGCTACAAATCGATCGACTGTTATCAGAACAAGGCTCTGAACTGACACAGAAGTCGACATATTAGAAAAAAAGATACTCAACTTACATAACGTTTGACCAAGGGGGCCGCCTATCAGCCAGGAGCGGGTGTGTAACCAAACCAACTTACGAGGAAACAGGAAAATTGGAGGAATCATGTCGGACATGGCCATGTTAAAAATCAAGAAATTAATGGGCTTTCTCAGACTTTTCGTCTTGAAGACAATAATTCCAATGAAGGTATTTCCAATTAACGAAACAAGAAATAGAAGGCAGTAAGCAAGGGTTTCACCGAAATTCCTTGCTGTGGGATTAAAGCAGCTCAACATGGACTGTGTTCCATTCATCGTTGCGGTCACGTTTGTGGACATTCTTGATATTGAGTCATCTTGAGGCTGCCTCAGCTACTCTGTTTGAAGAAAGCACGGCTCATTATTCAGACATACTTTATTTTTGATAACGAAAGATCTAGCAAAACATCTCATGATATAAAGTAGCGAGATTATTCGATTATACGTTTCGGCGACGACCTGTCACAATTATCAAAAGTAAATTATAGCAAAGCAAAGATGAATAACAATAACTTTTTGTGCCAATTAAAAAAAAAGGTAACAGCTTAGTTAATCAGAAAAACAAAAATCGTTCATAAAAACTAAAACACAACTACGTTGCTTTCTAACTTCCTCGTGATTGCATTAAAAACATTACATCTTTGCTCTTTTTACATAAAAATTTCCCATTTACACATCGTGTGGCTGCTTTTACTCTTTCGCTCCCAGACTCAGACACTAAGAATTGTTTGACGTGCAATTTCTTCGTACAGTATCAATATATTCTTCAATCAACAGTTTTTGAGAATAAAGAAACTTATCAGCTTCACGGTGTCAAATTGACGCAACACTTCAATCTCTAAAATATTTACAGTGACATTTGTAACATTTAGAAGGCAGACTTAGTAATTAAATCATGGAAATTAAAGGCTTAGAGTTGAGTTGATAATTTTATTTCTAAGACAATGATAAGTTTAAGGCATGTGATAGGTGAAAAAAAGAAACGGAAGAACCAAAGAAGGAGCAACAGACTTCATGTGTAAAGATTAAGTTCGGTTTGTAAAGAGCAAAACAGCTGTTTAGGAACCTGAAAATCGAACGCTCTTCTTCATCCCAATAAACTAAGCGCGCAAAATAAACTTATCGAATGAAAGTAGATTTGCCCAACTTGAATTAAATTGAAATATAACAATACTGTGCGATTTGTATATACTCTTCGTTACCACCAACACTGAATAATCTTAAGCTACTCAGGACGGCCAAGGCAGTAACATTACTGAGACGTGAACAAAGAGATATTTTGTGGGAAGAATATTCTCTGCTCATGTAATGAGCATTTTCATCAAAAACAAATTTCAATTTCGAATGGCCTTATCTTACTCACTCTTACATTGTGAACACCAACAATGGTTTCCGTCTTTCTCAATCTGAACATTTGTTTTGCCGAAAATAACAGACCCTGCGCGTGACGCGATGTTTACATTTTACAAACATTTACATTTTTTTCTTACATTGCGAACACCAGCAATCGTTCCCATCTTTCTCAATTTGAACATTTGTATTGCCGAAAATAACGGACTCTGCACGTGACACGATGTGTTCATTTTACAAACATGTACATTTTCCAACGCAGTTGATATTATCTTGGTCTGACATATGTATCAACACGACTTTCCGTTTCGCTCACAATGCTCATTAAAAAACATTGTGCCGGACTCCATTTTACATCAGAATTTGCTGTTCTTGTATTTGATTTCTGTTGCGCCTGATCTGAAGTGGCAACGACAGTATTTTTGAAAGGTGAAAGGAATGTAAGCTAATTTCTCTTTATTTTTACTGCTTACCCTTACCCTTGAAGTTTCTTGTTTAGTATCCTGATCGTATGACCGAGGAAGCCGAGAGTAAGAAACTGAAGTAACGCTTTCCCTGCAAAACGGAGATGAATAACAACTTCTTGTGAAAAAAAAGTAAAAGCTTAATCGGTATAAAAAAAACTCCGAGTTAGAAAACCTAAAACACAACTACGCCTATTTTTCAACTTCTTCGTAGTTGCATTAAAACATTGCATCGTTGTTCTTTTTGCATAATAATTTCCGATTCGATTCACACATCGTATGGCTGCTTTTACTCTTTCGCTCCCAGACTCGGACACTGAGGAATTGTTTAACGTGCACTTTCTCTCTATAGTGTCGAGACATTTTTTAAACCACCGTTTAGGAGAATAAAGAAACTTATCAGCTTCACGATGTCAAATTGACGCAACTCTTCATTCTCTAAAAATATTTACAGTAACATTTGTAACCTTTAGAAAGGAGACTTAGTAATTAAATCATGAAAATTAAAGGCCTAGAGCTGAGTAAATCATTTTATTTCAAAGACAATGATAAGTTTAAGGCAAGTTTTTAGCGACAAATTTTTGCCAAAATCTAAGATTATTCTGAGTTCTTTTTTTAATCTTCTGCCGCTGAATGTTCAGTCCAAAATATTGAATTTTATAACGCGGAAAAAGTATTATTTCCAAATTCATGTTTTGTACTAACCTTTCAGAATAGAAGCCTGTCTCGTTTGATATTCTTATTATATGACTAATGAAACCAAAAGTGACGGAGAAACTGAAATAGAACTTTCGCTGCAAGACAAAGATAGATGCAAATAGCCATTGTAAATGAAAAAGACGTGAAAACTTGATAGTTGAAAAAAAAAATTGATAAATGAAAGAGAAAAGAACGGACACCAATTGAGTGTAAAGATTAAGTTCAATTTGTAAAGAGCAAAAGAGGGCGTTTAGGAACCTGAAAATGGAACGTTCTCCTTCTTCCCCATAAATTAAGCGCACAAAATAAACTTATCAAATAAGAACAGAATTTCCCGGCTTTAAGTAATTTGAAATGTACCAATGCTGTGAGATTTGTATATTGATTTCTCTTCGTTACCACCGACACTGAAAAACCCTAAGATACTCAACACGGCCAAGGCAATAACATTAGACGTAAGCAAACGGATATTTTATTGGAAGATGATTCTCTGCTAATGAGAAGAGCGTTTTCATCAAAAACAAATTTCAATTTCGAATGGCCCCATCTTACTCACTCTTACATTGCAAACACCAACAGTGGTTTCCGTCTTTCTCAATCTCAATATTTGTTTTGCCGAAAATAACGGACCCTGCGCGTGACGCGATGTGTAAATTTTACATTTGTAAATTTCTCAAGACGTTTTTTGTGCACAGATTAGGCATGTCCACTGGATAAGATTTACACAGGCATTTTGATTGATGTCCAAGCAAATATGATGAATGAAACGAGTTTGACGCAACACGGCAAAAGAACTGACTTTAACGCGTGAGAAATTTATTCTCCTTAGGATATGAAAAAACTTTTAAACATAGGAGGAAATTATTTAGAACGACGTTCTGCTATAGCAATTAATGATGCGTCAGTATACGAATCAATGTAGAAATGGTTTATGTAAGAGCAGCTCAGGTTGTAAAAGTCGCAACAGAGCAACTAACGTCTCGAGAAGAAAAAAAAATGTTTGGATCAATTTCAGAATCTAAGCAACTGCGCACTTACCCATTACCGAAACCAACAACAGTCAACTGATAACAAAAATTAAATTATATAACGTATTTTCTCGAATAAGCACCTTCCCTCTGTTAAGCAACTACACCCTTTTCCAAAAAGTCAAACAAGGACCCCTCTCGAATGACCGCCCCTCCCTCCCCCCCTCGTTTCTCGCTCTTTTAAATAGAAGGGATAGAAGGAAAATCTATCTGTTCTTATTGCCGCTTTATTTATAATATAACTTTTTAACTACAGTGGTATAAGAATAGGCCTTTATAGATTATGCTAGCATAATTTTTGGCATAATTTGAGGAAACTGGTATAATTTGTGCCAAGTAGCAATGCTAGCATAATTCGCATATTTTGATAATTATCGGATCATTTTTGACGCTACGATTTGATCATAATTCATCTCTACTCCCAAACACTTGGTGACGTTATTCGATGTTTTAAGTCTTAGTTCAAGTAGTAGCATTTGTAGTTCACTGTGAATCATTGAGCGGCGTCTGAAACGGTCTGAGTCCGGGTCTGGGGTGCACCGGAACCGGAAGTCACATTGTATGTCACGTATAGTCTAGTATTAGTGTGGATTGGTTGCGTTTCTTTTCTTATAGACCAACGGTTTTTAATTAAAAAATGAATTTTTTGGACTTATTTGCAATTTTTTCAAAGAGCATAATTTTAAAAAAAAGGGGCGTAATTTGGAAAAAAGAGCATAATTTTAGCATAATTTCGCCAAAAAAAAGCAATGCTACTAGCATAATATGCTACTTTTTACTAGCATAATCTGTAAAGGCCCATATAAGTACAAGATATTAATATCTTAATAAGCGCCCTTCCGTTTAAGTGCCCACCTTTCAATAAGTACCTCTTCTTTTAGCCGGAATTTTAAATAAGCGTCCGAGCGCTAGTCCGAGGAAATACGGTATACATCAAAAAGTATCTTTTTATGTTCCCTCTGAAACCTCCCTAATGACGTCACGGTTGCAACCAGAGGGCCAAGTATGACAACACCAAGGGTCCTCATGGTAACAAGTTCGTAAATAGGAAGTTAGTAGGTTTAATAACAAATAATATCGTAGAGCTGCTGCTAATCTCTTTGCAATTTTCATTCAGCCGCTCGTGATAAGATGGATTATCATTCTATTATTATTCAAAATAGGCGAGTTATTCGCAAACCTCGACGTAAGTTAAATTGTGTCCTTAATACAGGTTCAGTGACGTTATATAAAGAAAGGAAAACAAAGTAATGTATATAATTGAATGAACAGTTCCGCTGGAATGGAGACTTCTTGAGTGTTCAGAGACGGTCTCTTATTCCTTGACGAACCGTCACCATCGCCCTCATATTGAGGAGCACAATTATTCCGTCATTGGTAAACATCTCAAGGACGAACATAATCAAAGACTAAACAATCTTCACGAGCAATTTGCCATCTAAAAGAAGCGCAGCGGAAATTTTGAGTGCCTTATTCATGAGATGTTTTAAAGGAGGAAAATGTTTTAATCTCGCTACTTTATTTTTGATTTAGTTTGTACCTAAAGCTTCCACAGAGCTGAGATATGCATTCTGCGCGATTTAACTGTTATCGTAATTTTTTTATTATTTTGTTGAAACAAGATTAGAAATAGCAACGATAGTGAAAAATAGATTTGGAATAATATGAGTAAATTTATGAAAGGAAGACACAGGAATTCTTTTCTCTTGACGCTTGTAACAGTCGCTCAGCAAGGGTTTTTAAATAAAAATTCTTGCGAATTCTTCACAAAGTCTAAGCGAAGTGTCATCCCTTATTCATCAGACAAAACCGAACAACAGAAGAAGAGTGCTCTTACCTTATGATAAAACCTCCTTGCAGTTAGTACCCAACTATTATTTCAAGACCCGCATCCATTCTGTAAAACCAATGAACAATTTGTTATTTGGTGTAATTGGATACGGATCCAAAAATTATTTCTTATATAAAAACTTTTGTTCTCGGCTCACATCTGTGTGTGTGTTTTTTTTGTTTTTTGTTTTTTGTTTTTTTACTTGATTTGCAATGATAATTTCGTGGAAAGCTATTTCTTTGGTTGATTATTTTTACTCCCACTGTCTCCGTTGTGTTAATAAAGTAAGACGTTGATCAAAAAACGAATTTTAGTTTTAGTTTGAATTTCGAAAATGGCTGTGTGTTTACTGTCTCTTACGGCGCCACACCTCAACTTCAGCGAAACCCATATGAGTAAATGAGTAAAATGTCCGCTCGTATTGCATGTTAATCCTCCTTTTCAGTTATAGAGAGGCCACGAAATGCACACAGCTTATTCCACCATGATTTCATTTTCTAGTATAATAAATTTTAATTTTTAATTTGCACAATACTTCAATCCTACGTAGTCTTACGGCCTTTACATGCAGTGGCGAAAGTATTATAGATCTGAAACTGCGGCGAAGCGTAAACAGGGAGGCTCTCTTTGCTGGAAGATAACGCGGGAATACTGCCTAAGCTCATTAACTTGTCATGGCAGAGCCAAGAAACTAAGACCTCGTAACTTATTGTTTAATCTTTTATTTCTGATATCACACTTAACGCGTGCATATCTCAAGCTATTTTCAAGGTTTGGATTTGTAATAACCATTTGCGTTCGATTTTTACCGAAGGCCATTACTTGTTCATCTCTCGCTACAACTTAAAATCGAAATACTTTTTGTTTCATAGCAAGCCTTCGACAGTTTGATAAAGAGAGGGTGTTCACTATTATTTCCTGCTCAAGATTCGATTGTCTCATCGAAAAATTTCTTCTATCTTAAATGAAGGACACAAAGTCTCTGAATCGCTCTTACACAAGCACTTCCGAATAGACAAAAGGAAAAACTGGTTAAGACGAACAAAGTAAAGCATACGAATAAATGCCTTATTTTATGATTACCGTTTCCTTCAAGCTTTTTATGATAGTGCTATCCCTGGACTGGATGTGACCATCAGTTCCTTTTTCTTAATGTGTAAATACTTGGTGCTGGGTGATCGAAGATTCAGTGAGCTCTGAAAAGAGCTCCCGATCACTAACAGTTTGTGGGACAAGTGAATTCTTCAAAATATGTACGCGGAAAGTCTACCTCAAAACAATTATCAAGTCAAAAATTAAAAGGCGTGAGGCGCGTGATCTGTATTTCTCCAACTCATTAATTATTCATGCAGCTCCTACCCAACCAGAGCATCTTATTCTGGTCAGGTTGATGGATTTAGAAACCCAATGAAAAATGAGTTGAAAACACGGCCGTGTTTGAAACAATTTCAAACACAGATGCAAATGTTCTTAATCTGCGTATTGATAAAGCAAGAAAAACACGTGGCGATAAACAACTTTATTGACAACAACATCCCTAACCTTGTTCCCTCTTTCATTTCTGCATCAAGAACGCGTCGGATCAAAGATAGAGAACCTGTAAAACACAAAATGATATCCCTAAATAAAACTACACTATTTCAATTTCGTATTAACAAAGATTTAGTAATACATTGACAGGTAAAAACGAACGATATAAAATCCCGACGTTTAATTTTATTTTCATTTGTACCCTTGATAATGGCGTCATGAAGTCGCCGAAACGTCGGGATTTTATATCGTTCGTTTTTACCTGTCTATGTATTTCAATTTCAGAATAAGTAATAAGTGCTACATACAGCAACAAAACTGCACCTTTTATCCGAAGCATCGACAGGATTAAAATCCATCTTCTCATTCTTCTCCTCCATAAAGCGACGCAATCCACACACAATCTGATATAACGTTTTCGGTGGGTATCTTTCCTTGGACGGTTTGTCAACTTCTTGAACAAACTTTGTCAGCCAATAATTAACGCTTAAAGCATCCATTTGGAATAAAGGAGTTTCCAGCGATTGAACTCTGTGCAGATCATATTCTTTAAAAAGACCACCTGGTTCCAAAGTTGCTACTTTCAGAAATCGGGCTTTTGCCCACTCTTCAAAAATACGAGCCGCCCATTTGTTTTTGTATTGCATCGACTTTGGAACTGCATTAACGACACACTTTTCCTCGTCCTCAAAGGTTTTCGGTTGTCGAAAACAATATTCTGTCATCTTCGAAAGCACCGTGCTTGCTCGATACTCACAATGCAACTAGTAGGTAAACAACGTGAAATGCAAATACAAATGAAATTCAGTATTGTCAGTATACAAATTCACATTCTGCTCACCATAAACAATACTTCAATTGAGAAAACTTATTCAAATGATAATTGACACTAATTTTCTTTTGTTGGAGAAGTAATTTCAAAAACTCGTGCTTCGTGTTTCATCGGGGTTTCCAAACACCCGTAAACAATAAAAGCATTCGGCCTACGGCCTCGTGCTTTCATCAGTTTTCTCGTGTTTGGAAACCCCGATGAAACACGAAGCACGAGTTTTTGAAATATTACTTAATAGACAATAAAAACAGTTTAATGGAAAGCGAACACTGAAATAGCCTTCTTTACTCATATTGAATAACGTTTGACAGCTGGTGCCTTGGCGAAAATGTTTAATGGGACTTTAGCGGCAAACTACGGAGGAGGTTATTAGAATTTTTAACCATCTGCCTTCAGCTGTTTGAACTAGGGATTTTTCCCTTTTTAGTGCAGAGTATTTTGAAGGCTTATGGTAAAACCTAGTAAAATCAAAAGTTCATTTTTGCCGTTTTCCGTCACATAAATGACCGCATAATCTCGCTAATTCTGAGTCATCTGGTGCGGTCGGCTATTCAGCGTGTAAACATTGCTGAGCGTCAAATTTTGGTCCCTGTGGTAAAAGCAAATTACAATGTACAGGCTGCTAAGGAAGTAAAATGGAAAGTATAGTTTTAAAAAGCGCAGAATTTCGTTCCAGGTAAGCAAGATCCTAGTTATGTTGTTCAGCTCTTTGTTTTATTTCGTTTTTTCTTTTTTTAATTTTGATTAAATCATACGTTTTCGGTTTTGACAAGGCACGGACGGGTTGAGTTTTCGCGAACACAATGATCATGAAATAGCTGTGGTTATATAATGTCAGTTACCTTTATTACTCAAGGCTCACATGTGATTAAAGGGGGAAATTAAGTTTCTAAAGAAACTGTGGTGCTGCATTGGTGGGGGTAACATGGTAATTTGGTAATATCAACTAAGTTGAAATTGCAAATTGGCCACCGTAAAGAGTAAAAAGCTGACGTTTCGAGCTTTAGCCCCTCGTCAGACTTCGTCAGACTTCGCTCTGACGAAGGGCTAACGCTCGAAAGGTCAGCTCTTTAGCTCTTTGCGGTGGCCAATTTGCAATTTCAACTTAGTTGATATTACCAATTTACATATGATCAATCCGATCTAATAGCAAGAACAAATTTCAGTTAAAGACTATTCGAGTCACCAGTTTAGCTATTTGTAGTTGTACCAAAAACGTTGTATAAAGCTGGTTAGAGAGAGAGACTTTATTTCAAGAGGGTAGCAAGTGACAGTAGTTAAACTAATAATCCTGTGGCCCTCTATTAACCCGCCCATCCCACCCCAGGGGAGGACATCCATCACACAGTAATCTCGTGCGTGGGAAATTAACGTCTCCTACCCCAACCCTGCAGGAGATGGGACCTCCATTTATTCGTCCCTATCCGCGAAGACTAGAATATCTAACCATTTCTTGATGTCATAGAAAGGTAGCAAATTCTTCTCAATTATTTTAAGACCCTGAGTGTTGGTCCGGCCGGGGCTCGAACCCTCCACCTCCTGCACAACAGTCCAATGCTCTACCATCCATTGAGCAAACCGGGAGGCGGTTAGCCAACACACAACAGTTCGTCAGTAGCTCAAACTAAAAAAAGAAAAGATTTGGGTCATCCATGAAACCAGGAAAATTAGTGCAGGAGATTCTTAAGGCCTTGACGATAATTTCCGCTGAAAGCAGAAGAGATTAAAGGGTTCACAGCGAAATATGAATGGACTAAAATAAGGGTAACAGCTGTGAAGTATTGGAAGCCGCAAGATGATATCGTGTCCGGATGGATTGAGGACCAGGATCAATCAGATACTATATGGCAGGAAACATACTGCGAACACTAACACGATAGCAATGGACATCTTCAAAACATTTCGCTCTCTTTTTAAACGTTGTCCTCTTGCGTTGTTTGATGGCTGGCCAGGAATCTTCTGAGATTTGATTTTAAAAGCAATGGTAAAGTAAGGGTGTAGTGTGATCGTCCGGGTGCGAACTGACCAATGCCGGACACTGGGTGGGGCTCAAAGATTTTGCATCCATTTACAAACCCAGCCTAAGTTCGATTTCGAGAGACCGATTACTTAGGAAAAACCGTCTGACTCAGGGGAAGAGATTTTCACAAAAATTTTCTACTTCACACCAGGAGAATAGTGGCTGGGACTTTTTCCCTAAGTAATGTCCCAGTACACACAGAGCAATTACTTCTCCCTTCATTTTTCCTCTGAAAATTATTCCTGTTTGTTTTAGCCTCTTCAAGAGTATATCAACTCACTGACATCGCAGGGATCACATTACCTTGCGAATCATTTGCAACCGATGCTAGGACTAAGATAGTGGATCCGAGTGTTCAAAAGGTGATTTAACTTGAGATTCCCCTGATTACCGAATTTCGAAAACGAAAACGAAGTTCAAGGCAACTGGAGTTTTCGATGGCTTTGAAGTAGCTACAGTCGAAGAAAAATTCGTGATTAAACTTTTAAGAGATTACCTGTTCATAGACGAGAATAAAATAATGCTTATTTTTTTCTGTCTATTTTATTTACCCATTTTTCATTCCGCACTATTATCTTTGAGGAGGAATGCTACATATTATTATTATTATTATTATTATCATTATTATTATCATTAGTATCATTATTACAATTGCTATTACAATTACAGTAACAGTACGAACTCGAATAAACTACAGATAAAATTTTATTCTGCCTTTTGCTTTTGGTCCACTACGTCATAATTCTCTTCTAACGGTGATAATTTGGCTCAAAAGACTCTTAATATTCAGATAAAATCCTTAAACTACATACTCAGAATAATTTATGCCTCAAGCAACAGTATTTGCGCAAAAGTTGAATCAGATACTTTGAAAAGTCGTGAGTCTCGCAAACTTTTTTTCCGATCTCGTAGTCTCGTCAACTTACGCGACAATTTTCGAAGTCTCGTTTACTCACAGGCGGCCCAGGCTCTGTCACAGGCTCTTTCACAGTGGATTATTACAGAGTTTGTATAGTGGTTTAGTTGGACTTGCTTTTGAGCTCCGCAAATATAAAGTTTTATAAATTCTCGTCGCGACAAGAATTCAATCGCGACAAGAACAGCACAGACTACTCTGTATGAAGGTAAGACTTTATTTCTTTTATTATTTCAATCAACCCTGATTTTAACCTTCCTAATTTAAAAATACGAAGCCAATATTATTTCCCGCACAGTTTTCATGTAATGAAAAACGGCTTGAATGTCGATACCAGAACTGGAATTCCGAAGTTTTCTTTACTTCACAACAATGTCAGAAGCCTGAAACGAAATTTTGAAAATCTAGAAACTCATCTTTTAAACGAACTGGAATATTATTTCAGTGTTATAGGGATAACTGAGACTAAAATTACAAATTTTGATTTACCAGATCATTTACCATGTCTGCCAGGTTATGAATTTGAATTCGTTCCATCACCTCTTTCCGCCGGAGGTGTTGGTATGTACATTAGTGACAAATTTAAGTATAAGATAATAGAAAAAACGTCAACCAACGCCTTCCAAGCTCTCTGGGTGGAGTTTCTTTTTGAAAAGAAAAGCAATATTATCTGTGGAACAATCTACAGAGCACAATTCCCCAGAGAGCTTTCAGGCATATTTTGATGAAGCCCTCGAGAGATTCAACCAGTCCGAGAAGACAGTTTACATAATGGGTGATTTCAACATAAACCTCCTCAATGCCGAGACCTGTAACTTCACTAAAGAGTTCTTACTCACCTTACAAAGCTACTCGTTCATTCCAACGATTGATAAACCAACTAGAGTATACAGCAACTCGGCCACTCTAATTGACAACATTTTTGTAAATAAAAATTGTGGAAGAATCACAAGTGGCAACATTATCTCAGACATAAGAGACCACTACTGTCAATTCTGCTTGACTGAATTCTCCTGCGAAACAAATTTCCCTAAAAAGACCATGGTGCGTGACTTATCTAGGTTTTCAGAAGAGGATTATAACTCTGAATTAGCGCAAGTCGGCTGGGAATCGATTCTTGCAAGAATAAATGGAAATATCGATATCGCTTTTTCAAAAATTTATGACAAACTTAACAAACTGACAAACAAACATGCTCCGCTTAAACCTCTATCAAAGCGAAAATTCAAGCAATCCTTCAAAAGCGTGGATTTCCAAAGGGCTAATCAAATCTATAAAAATTAAAAACGCTCTATTCGCCTCAGGGGATACCGACAAATACAAACTCTATCGAAACAAAATTACATCTCTAATTCGTCTTAGTAAAAAGCTCTATTATCACAAATATTTCACACAACATATGAACGATATGAAGAAAACATGGACTGGAATCAACGACGTACTGAACCGAAACAAAAGAAAATCAAAACCCATTGTTGGCTTTAAACGACTAAACGGGAATGGTAAGACGTGTAACCCTGCGGAATTGCCGAACGCACTAAACGATTTCTATTCTACGGTTGGCCAAAAGCTAGCGGCACATGTACAAGATAGTAATTATCACTATATCGAATACTTAACAAATATCAATTTCACCACTTCCTTTTTTCTTTAAACCAGTCATTTCATCAGATATCGAACTAGAAATCTCGCTTTTACCACCAAACAAGGCTTATGGACTATATTCATGCCCTATTCGTGTTTTGAAATGTGCAAAGAGCATACTCGCTTCACCACTAGCTGACTGTAGTATTTGTAGGTCACGTGATGTAAGATGATGCGATACCTGAAGAATAAAGTTGAGTTAATGTCTACCGTGAACTCCACGTGTTTTCTGTTTATCCTTTTATTTCGCTTCTAATTTCCTTCAGGATACAAAATTGGCGACGACGATGGGATCCAAAATCTAGACAGAGAGTAGAAATGGCGGCACACATTGGCAATATTGGCGCCTTCGACGAAAAGTCAGAGAAATTTAGTGATTATGCCGATCGTTTCGAAGCCTACGTGGCGGCGAATGACATCGATAACGATAAAAAGGTGAATGTTTTTCTAGCTGTTATCGGTCCAGATGCTTATAAACTATTGAAGAATTTATGTGATCCGGAGAATCCGAATACCAAGACGTTTACCCGGTTGTCACAGCTGTTGCAAGGACACTTTGAACCGGCTCCTATTGTGATGGCGGAAAGACACAAGTTTTGGACGGCATCCCAAGAAGAATGCGAGAGCGAGTCAGAATTCGTGGTGAAACTGAAAAAGTTGGCTTCAACATGCAGCTTTGGTGATTTTCTGTCTGAAGCCCTAAGAGATAGACTTGTCTCTGGATTACATCCGAAAATGTCCAGAACCCAACGTCAACTCCTGTCAGTAAGAGAGTTAACCTACGCGGCGGCCCATGACAAATGTATTGCAGATGAATTGGCGGGTAAAGCGAATATAGAACACATGCGAGATTTAGTTAATAGTGAAGCCGAGAAGGTTCAACATGTCAATTCTGGACGCAACGTGGAGCAGAACAGCAAAAGGGCAGACAAGTGCAGATCATGTGGAAGTATGCAGCATCGATCTGAATCATGTAGATTCAAAAATGCCACATGCCATCACTGCCAGAAGAGAGGTCATATACGCCCCGGTATGTAAGGCCCGATTGTCACAAATGCAGTTTAAACGAAGATCAAGTGGTACAAAGGAGTCAAAGGTGAACTGTTGCGATAGTATTTCTGATGATGAAAGTGTAAGAAGCTGTGGTAGTCATGCAAGAGGCACACCTATGGATGCAGCTGAAGGTGTGGCCTTTGGATTATACAGAGCTGGAATTGAACAATTGTCCACTGAGTATGTAAATCGCGTCAAACCGTATGTAGTAAATGTTCAGGGCGCAGATTAATTGTAAAATGGAAGTAGACACGGGGGCATCTCGTTCTTCAGTGTCTAAACATGTCTATGATGCTGAATTATCAGATCATCCCATTCAACCTGTGGGAGTAAATGTACGCAGTTATTCAGGGGAAAAGATTCCAGTAGTGGGAAAAACTGCTGTACCAGTGAAATTTGAAAATCAGGAACACATTCTCGATTTAATTGTTGTAGAAGGCAATCTCCCTGCATTGTTTGGGCGAAATTGGTTGAGTAGAATAAGGGTGGACTGGAAGAACTTGTTTCACGTTAAAGTAGAAATCCCCAAGAATGAGATTTCAATCCCTAAATCTGAGATTTTCCAGCCGAATTTAATGATGTATTGGAAAAACACAAGATGTTGTTCTGCGCTCAGGGCTCTGGTATCAAGGGTTTTAAGGGATCCTTAAAACTTAAAGAGGGTGCCAAACCAGTGTTCATGAAGGATAGACCGGTCCCTTACTCGCTTGTGGAGAATGTTGAAAGAGAGTATGATCGCTTGGTTGAATCAGATATTTTATATCCTGTATCTAGCAGCAATTGGGCAAGCCCTGTGGTACATGTCCCTAAATCTGATGGATCCATACGAGTATGTGGGGACTACAAGGCCATTAATGAACGCATAGAAGATGATGTGTACAAATTACCCAATATACAAGACATGTTTGCATTGCTGTCTCAAAATGGGGCGATTCCTGATACCTTTTCTGTCATTGATTTAGCCAGTGCTTTCAACCAATTATTTTTGGATGAAGAGTCCTCTCAGCTACTAACCATCAACACTAGAAAAGGTTTATTTAGATCCAAACGCCTGTGTTTTGGGGTAAAAACTGCAACTTCCCAATTTCAACGCGTCATGGATTCTATCCTGTCAGGTATTAAGGGTGTGATGGTGAGGGTTGACGACATTCTGGTGGCAACATCATGGGGAGCAACCAATCACATGGAAGTGATCAAACAGGTTTTTGGAACACTGGCAAAGCACAATGTTAAGGTGAATGGCCTTAAATTTCAATGCTTTCAAACTCAAGTGAAGTATATGGGGCATATTTTGAGTAAAGAGGGTATCAGTCCTGTTAAGAGCAAGCTGGACGCAATTCGCCTAGCCCCTAGACCTAAAGATGTGTCTCAGCTGCGATAATTTTTAGGCATGTTGAATCATTACTCAAAGTTTATCAAGGATTTTTCGTCCAAAGTGCACCCACTGTACCAACTTCTTGGGAACAACGCTGAATGGTTTTGGAGCAAAGAGTGTGAAATTTCATTTTTATGGGCCAAAGAAGTTCTCTCTAGTGAGCAAGTTCTAGTCCATTATGACCCACAAAAGCCTCTTATACTGAGTGTGGATGCCAGTCCATATGGCATAGGGGCGGTATTGAGTCATCTGATGGAAGATGGCAGTGAGCGGCCGGTGGAGTTTGCTTCTCGTACATTTAGCAGTGCTGAACGAAATTATGCCCAGATAGAAAAAGAGGGGCTGGCTATCATCTTTGGAATTAAACGATTTCAGCTCTATCTCTATGGTAGAACGTTTACACTAGTAATGGATCACCAACCTCTAACTCGCATTTTTGGTCCAAAATCTAGTGTTCCCCCATTGGCTGCAGCCCGTTTACAACGATGGGCTGTACTCCCGTCTGGATATGATTTTGACATTGCATTCAAAACTTCAGCTGACAATGCTAATGGAGATTTGTTCAGTCGATTTCCACTACAGTCTCTGCCTGATGATGAGGATTTGGATCCAGATATGCATTATGTGTTTGCAACGGTGACAGATGAATTGCCCGTAACTGCAGCAGAGATAGCTGAAGGTGCAAAGACAGATGGTTTGCTTGTAAAGGTATATGAATATACTTCCTCTGGCTGGCTAGGCACTTGCCCGAGTCCAGAGCCTAGACCTTTTGGGATCGTAGAGATGAGCTTGCGCTGGAAAATGGGTGCTTACTGTGGGGTAGGCGTGTCATCATCCCATTGAGCTTACAAAAATGTTTACTGGAGGAATTACACGAGTGCCATCCAGGTATGTGTAGGATGAAAGCACTAGCCAGGTCCTTTCTGTGGTGGCCTGGAATTGATCTTGATATAGAAGAGAGGGTAAGGCTTTGTGATGTGTGTACCCAGGTACATCATTCTTCTAAGGCAGTTCCTTTGCTGCTGTGGCCTTGGTCAACTGAGCATTGGCTGAGAATTCATGTTGATTATGCTGAGGTGAAAGGTCAACAGTTTCTCCTGATGGTTGATAGCCATTCTAAATGGATGGAAGTTTTTCCGATGAGGAGTACCACTGCAGATGCTACCATAGAGGTCTTGAGAGTTCTGTTTTCTCGATATGGGCTGCCATTAAAGGTGGTCAATGATAATGGCCCACAATTTGTGGCTAGAGAATTCCAGACATTTTCGAAAATGAATTGCACTAAACACACTTTGTGCCCCCCATATCATCCCTCTACAAATGGTTTGGCAGAAAGATATGTACAAACTTTCAAAAGGACATACCGGACTTGTCCTGACCAGGGGTCACTTCAGCACAAGGTGGCTAATGTCCTATTCCACTACAGAAACACACCACACTCCACAACTGACAAAACCCCTGCTCAGCTGTTTTTAAAAAGAGAGCCCAGAACACACCTCTCCTCGGTTAAACCCAGCTTGCAAAGACATGTAGAAAAGAAGCATGTAGCATCCAAATTATACAGGGATGGGCTCCACCCGAGAGGGCGAATTTTTGATTTATATCAACCAGTTAGGGTAAAAAACACTAGACGAGGGAAGGAGAAGTGGATAACAGGCATTATTGTGGCAGTAAAGGGCCCTGAAACTTATCTTGTACGTGGCCCGGTAATAATCGTCGTTTTGTACACGCTAATCACTTGATACCAGATGATGCCAGAGGACTGGATTCCCATGTGGAAAAGATTACACCAGATGTGTTTAAAAAGAATCCATCCTTGGATTTTAAAGGCGCATTCCTCAGTTCCGATGGAAATTCCCAAATTCCGTCTAAAGATAACAATGAATTATCTAGCAAATCTGGTGTTATTGCTGTACCAATCGTTGAAAATGATATCGAATTAAAAAGCAGCGATGATTCTGGGTGTGAGAGTCCCGATACAGCCATTACCAGGCCCATTGAACCAACCCACAGTAAATCCGAGACCGGTCCGGTGGTCACCCGATCAGGGCGAGTGATCAAGCCTCCAAACAGGTTGAGTTTGTAGTTTATGTTAGAAAATTATGTTTATGGTTAAAAAAAACTGTATAGGAAGGAGGAAATGTAGTATTTGTAGGTCACGTGATGTAAGATGATGCGATACCAGAAGAATAAAGTTGAGTTAATATCTACTGTGAACCCCACGTGTTTTCTGTTTATCCTTTTATTTCACTTCTAATATCCTTCAGGATACAAAACTGAGCTTATCAACTTCTCTGTCCAAAGTGGAAAATATCCTTAAAACATGCAAAAGTTATCCTGGTATACAAGGGCGACGATGAGACCGACCTTAGCAACTACCGTCCTACTTCACTACTCTCCGTCTTCAATAAAATCTTTGAAAAAATCATTTACAACCGATTGAAATCATACATCGAATATAATTGAAAAATTAAACGAGACTTACCTGTAAGTTGAAGTTTGATTGGAATTCTATCGAGTAATCAAACTGCATCAAGGGATCAATGAGATAGCTAGACGCATGCGCATAACCGGTATTTATAGCCGAATGTGACAGTCTGATCACCATGAAGTAGATTGCATAAGAACTGTAATGTCAATAACACTAAAATCAAATGTATAAGTATGATTTGTTGCCCAAGGGTGGGCATGTGATCCCTTAGTGCAGTTTGATGACTCGATAGAATTCCAATCAAACTTTAACTTACAGGTAAGTATATGTGAACGATCCTTCGCAGTAAAGCACTATTTGAGCAATAGTGAAAATCAGACCTGAAAAAAATTTCAGGCCTGTACGGGATTCGAACCACTGACCTCTGCGATACTAGTGCAGCGCTCTACCAATTGAGCTAACAAGCCAACTGGGAGCAGGCCATCAAATTAATTCGACATAAACCCGTAGATGATAAATCAAACAACAACAAACATATGAAACATATGTATGAACTGCGGTTATGA